ACTGGCCAGGGCTCTACCCTGTCTTCTAATTCACTGATCCGGTCCTCAGCTTCCTCTACTCTGCTTTTTAGAGTTTCCAATGTGTTTTTAATTTCTAATATGTTGTTTTTAATTTCTAACTGGTTGATTTTCAACATTTCTATGTCTTTACTCATGGTGCTCATGTCCTTACACATGCTGTTGAGCTTCCTCAAGATCATGGCTCTGAATTCTAGTTCTGTTAACTTGCTTAACTGCTTTCTTTGTTTTGCGGATGCGCTCCTCGTGGTGGCAGCAGGCGCGGCCTAGCCATGCAGAACGACGCCGGCAAGTTCATGGACCTGTACGGGCCGCGGAAATGCTCCGCCAGCAACCGCATCATCGGCGCCAAGGACCACGCATCCATGCAGATGAAGGTGGCCGAGGTTGACAAGGTGACAGGCAGATTCAACGGCCAGTTTAAAACCTATGCTATCTGCGGGGCTATTCGCAGGATGGGGGAGTCAGATGACTCCATTCTCCAACTGGCCAAGGCTGATGGCATTGTCTCAAAGAACTTTTGAGCGGAGAGCATCACAGATATGAAATTTGTCGTGGGCTTTGGAGTCTGCCAAATTTTCCCTCTGGGTGTTGGTGTTCTGCTGTTTGTGGCTCCCTCTTCTGGGTTTGGATGAGGCAGGGAGGACCCACTTTAACCACCACTGTCAAGTCTTAACTTTCCTCTAGCTTTTTTTTTGCCTGGAGGCTATTAGTAGAGGTCATCTGAAGAACCTTGGTTTCTGAGTTGCCTGAAAAACTCCCTCAGGTGCTCAGTGTAAGAGGATTTCCCGAGGGTGGGGCAGATGCTGGTTGTTAATGGGCCTCAATTAGCATTTCAATGGCCGCCAGGTAGGGTTGAATCTCCGAGGAAGGGGCCGCCACCTCTTCCCAGCGCCCTGGGAAGGAGTAAAATGACCACAGTCCTGCGTGGCTGCATTCAGCAAAAGCTCTGAGCACCCTCCAAATCCCGAGTGTCCCCACACAGTTCCAGTCCAGTCTGCCTTCCCTCTGCCGGAGCCCAAGGTGAGTGGTTGCTGCCAATTTAGCCTCTGTCCAGACTCTGTGTCATGGAGCCACCTGGGACTTTTAACCCGAGGGCGCTGCTCCCAGCTAAGGGCGGCTGAGTCTGCGGCACCAGCCGAGGGTGTAGCACTCAGCCGAGTTCGTAGGATTTAGCCGCGGTTGCAGCTGAGGCGGCAGCAGCTTCCAGCCAGTCCGCTGGTCCCAGCCCAGGCCGCCTCTCGCGTCCTCGCAAGCCTACCAGGATTTAGTCAGTGTCCCTGGTTATGTGGTCCTCCAGGCTGCCTTTCGGTTGCTCCTTCCTGACGATTTGTCTTTATTTTCGTTGTAAATCCAGTCTGGTCCTGGGAGATGGTCTGTGTAGCTCCATTCACTCCGCCGCCATTTTTATCTCTCCACATACCTTTGAAAGTTCAGAGTAATTTTCTTTTTTTTTATCCTCACCCGAGGACATTTTTGCATTTATCTTCAGATAGAGCAGGAGGGAGAGAGGGAGGAAGAGAGAGAGAGAAACAGTGATGTGAGAGAGACACATCGAGTGGTTGCCACCCACATGACCCCAACAGGGGCCAGGGACAAACTGCAACCGAGGTATTTGCCCTTAGCGGGAACTGAACCTGGGACTCTCTAGTCCACAGGCCAACACTCTAACTGCTGAGCCAATCAGCCAGGGCCAGAGTAATTTTCTTTTCCTACCCCTGGAAGGCACAATTTCAGTCATCAGAGCAGGGGTCCACAGAACCCCTCATTGTTATCTTGTTCCCACATACCATCTCTTTGTGCTGTGAATGTTAATTATTAACTATCCTGTACCCATCAATGTAAAAGTATGTTTCTCCATTTTGCTTTTATCCAATCCTAGAGATTTCCCCACTTTGCTTTCTTCCACCAGTGGATTTCATGTAACCTTCCTTATGTCTCCTCCTTTAACTCTAATGTATGAAATAAGCTGCAAAACTGCCATTCTCCAGAGCATTTTCTCAATACATTGAAATCTTGCTTCAGGCACAACCTGAAACTGGCTCAAATAAACTCTTCTAAAACTTGTCCTTAGGCCTGATCTTCTTAGGTCGACATAATAAACCAGGGTTTTTCAGCCTCACCAATTATCTATTAGGGGGAGGGGTTGTCTGACCTCTATCCACTAGATCAGTGATTTTCAACCCATGTGCCACAAAAAATTTTAAAACATGCAATTCCTGACTGTTTAGTCAAGAGCACTGAACTCTTCCCTTAGATTATCAAATTAAAAAATGACAACAGCTCCCTTGGCTGGTATGGCTCAGAGGTAAGAGTGTCACCTGTGGACCAAAGAGTCCCAGGTTCGATTCCAGCCAAGGGCACGTACCTTGGTTGTGGTTCATCCCCGGCCCCGGTTGGGGCTGTGTGGGTGGCAACCAATCGATGTGTCTCTCTCACATCAATGTTTCTCTCTCTCTCTTCCTCCTGCTCTACTTGAAGATAAATACAAAAATGTCCTTGGGTGAAGATAAAAAAAAAGGGTGGATGTGACACATAGTAAGGATAAAATCTAAAAGATTTGGCAAGTATTTGGATAGGAATGTGACTGAAGAAGAGGACTGAAAGATCAAACAGAACCACAGAAAAGGCCCTAGAGGCCAGGTACTCTAATCTGCTTATAACGGCATTAGAACATTATAAACAGGTTTGAAGGGAGCTCGGTAAAACCTGCTAATAATCACAAAATTTTTCTTGCCCTTTGACTCAGAAATTCCATTTCTAGGAATTTATCTTAAATAATTCAGACGAAGACAAGCAATTTCTATGTACAAAACAACAGCAATTACATGGAGACAGTGACTACCTTGTTCTTAACAATTGAGAGACCCACATTTAAGAGGTTGATTTAAGATTCAGAGATAAGTCCTGGCCGGTTCAGACGAAGACAAGCAATTTCTATGTACAAAACAACAGCAATTACATGGAGACAGTGACTACCTTGTTCTTAACAATTGAGAGACCCACATTTAAGAGGTTGATTTAAGATTCAGAGATAAGTCCTGGCCGGTTTGGCTCAGCGGTTAGAGCATTGGTCTGCAGACCGGAGAGTCCTGGGTTTGGTTCCCACTAAGGGCATGTACCTCGGCTGCAGTTTGTCCCCAGCCCTAGTTGGGGTCATGTGGGTGGCAACCACTTGATGTCTCTCTCACATCAATGTTTCTCTCTCTCTCTCTCTCTTCCTCCCTCTCTCCCTCCTGCTCTATCTGAAGATAAATGCAAAAATATCCTCGGGTGAGGATGAAAAAAAAAAATTCAGATGAGATTGAAGATTCTGGAGAGAGAAGTTGTAACTAATGAAAAATCCCAGAGTGGGTGAGTATGGCAGATAACAAGAATACAAGTAGAGCCTTGGCCAGTGTGGTTCAGTTGATTGAGCATCATACCATGCACCAAGAGGTCGCTGGTTTGATTCCCAGCCAGGGAACATGTCCAAGTTAGGGGCTCCATCCCCAGCAGGGGCATGCTGGAGGCAGATGATTGATGACTGATGTTTCTCTCTCATCAGTATTTCTCTCTCTCTCTCTCCATCTCCCTACCTCTCTCTAAATCAATTTAAAAAAGTAAAAATAAAATAAAAGGATGCAAGTAGAAAAATTCCTAACTCTCCTTTCAGAGAGAAAGCAACAACCTGATAATTTGTTTTTGTTTTTTAATTTTTTTTCTTTGATTTTGAGATAGAGAGGTAGAGAGAGAAACATCGATGAGAGAGAACATTGGTCAGCCACTTCCTGCATACCCCCCACTGGGGATTGGGCCCACAACCTGGGCATGTGTCCTGACTGGCAACCTCTTGGTGCATGGGCAGAGGCTCAGCCACTGAGCCACACCAGCCAGGCCAACCTGAGAATTTGTAATGGAGAAAGTACAAAGAGAAGTTGGGTGGAGGAATTTACAGGTCATCTGCAGTCATCTGCAGAATAAAGGCCTGGCAAACCCAAGGTTTGAACTGAAATCTTGAAATTTGCCTGAGGGCATTCCTTGAAAACCTGATTTATGCACTTTCAGCACAAAATTGCTAGGGAACGTGCTGTTCAGAAATGAGAATATCCTGGGCACACTGCAATATGCAGAGACTAGAAGGAATAAAGAGTTAAGTAGCCAACTTGATTTTAAAATCGCCTCTAAATACAAAATCCTTGTTAATTTGTCAAAGACTCTGTGGCTCTAGTGTGAAGCCCCACATTTCAATTAAGGTACTGTTTTGTTAAGTGAAATAAGCCAGAGAAAAACAAATACCATATCATTTCACTTATATGTGGAATCTAATGAACAAAATAAACTAACAAATAGAAACAGACTCATAGAGACAGAGAACAGACTAACAGGTGTCAGAGGGAAGGGGATTGGGGGACTGGGTGAAAAAGGTGAATGGATGGAGCAAAACACAAACAAACAAAAACAATGACAAAGGTATGGTGATTGCCAGAGGGGAAGGGGAGTGGGAAGAGGTAGGGGAAGGTAAAGGGGGATAAAATGGAGATGGAAGGAGACTTGACTTATGGTGCTAAATACAATACAATACAATATACAGTTGATGTGTTATAGAATTAAAAAAAATTAATAGCCCATCTAGTGTGGTTCAGTGGTTGATCCTCGACCCATAGCACCAAGAGGTCGCTAGTTTGATTCCCAGTTAGGGCACATGCCCAGGTAGTGGGCCTGATCCCCAGTAAGGGGCATGCAGGAGGCGGCAATCCATGTTCTCTCTTATTGATGTTTCCATTTCTGTCTCTCCTTCTTTCCTCTCTAAAATCAATAAAGAAAAAAAAAATTAAGGTATCGTCTGTTCATAGGATGAGCAAAAGGGGCTGGGTGGAAGAACGGTGGGCGTGGCCAACCCTGGCGGCTGGAGGCCCGCCCCCTTCCCACAGTACACCGCAGCTGGGGCCTGCGTGGACCTCTTTCTCGGGCCTCCGGTGGGGCTGGGGGAGGGTTCCATCATGGACGGGCTCCGGGCTAGCGCGGGTTTGCTGAGGCGCGGGCGGCTGAGACGCCGGCGCCAGCCGCAATCACACAGCGGGTCGGTGCTGGTCCTGCCCTTGAGGCCCAGGAAGATCCGGAGGCAGCTGAGGAGAAGTGTTGCATCCCGCATGGCCGCGCTGAGGGCCCAGACGCTGCCAAGCGAAGACTCTGAGGACTTGAGGGTGGAATCAACAGTTGACGATCCCCAGGACCCGCTGCCTGCCGGAACGGTGGCCCCCCCGGATGCGGCCCGGCGAGAGCTGCTGGAGGCCTCAGCAGCGGCCCGCTCCCTGCAAACACCCCCGGCGCGTTTGGTGGAGGCGCAGACCCCGCCGGCTCGCCTAGTGCCAGCCTCGGTGCCTCCGGCGCGCCTGGTGGACGTACCCACCGCACCGGCCCGCGTGGTGGAGACCTCAGCCCTACTGTGCTCTGCCCAGCACTTGGCGGCTGCCCCACCATCCGTGGCCGCAGCGGCGCTGTTGGGGCCGCCGGTGGATAGCATGGGCGGGGAGCTAGCGTGGGATTCTCCCTTGCAGCGGGTCTTGGCGGAGCTTAGCCGCATCCCCAGCAGCCGGCGGCGGGCAGCACGCCTCTTCGAATGGCTCATTGCGCCCATGCCACCCGATCATTTCTACCGGCGCCTGTGGGAGCGGGAGGCCGTGCTGGTTCGGCGGCAGGACCACACCTATTACCAGGGTCTCTTTTCTACTGCCGACCTAGACTCCATGCTGCGCAACGAGGAGGTGCAGTTCGGGCAGCACCTGGACGCCGCGCGCTACATCGATGGGCGGCGCGAGACCCTGAATCCCCCGGGCCGCGCCCTCCCCGCCGCTGCTTGGTCCTTGTACCAGGCCGGCTGCTCCCTGCGGCTCCTTTGTCCGCAGGCTTTCTCGACCTCTGTGTGGCAGTTCTTGGCTGTGCTCCAGGAGCAGTTTGGAAGTATGGCGGGCTCCAACATTTACCTCACGCCCCCCAACTCTCAGGGCTTTGCTCCCCACTACGACGACATCGAGGCTTTTGTCCTGCAGTTGGAAGGTAGGAAACTCTGGCGTGTCTACCGACCCCGGGTCCCGACTGAGGAACTGGCCCTGACATCCAGCCCCAACTTTAGCCAGGATGACCTTGGTGAGCCGGTGCTGCAGACCGTGCTGGAACCTGGAGATTTGCTCTATTTTCCTCGGGGCTTCATCCACCAAGCCGAATGCCACGAAGGAGTGCACTCTTTGCACCTCACCTTGTCCACATACCAGCGCAATACCTGGGGTGACTTCCTGGAGGCCGTACTACCTCTGGCAGTGCAGGCTGCAATGGAAGAAAATGTGGAGTTTCGTAGGGGGCTGCCCCGAGACTTCATGGATTACATGGGGGCCCAGCATTCGGATTCTAAGGATCCTCGAAGAACTGCTTTCATGGAGAAGGTGCGGGTCTTGGTTGCCCGCTTAGGACACTTTGCCCCTGTCGATGCTGTGGCTGACCAGCGAGCCAAAGACTTCATCCATGATTCTCTGCCTCCTGTGTTGACTGATAGGGAGAGGGCACTAAGTGTTTATGGGCTCCCAATTCGCTGGGAGGCTGGAGAACCTGTAAATGTGGGGGCCCAGTTGACAACAGAAACAGAAGTGCACATGCTTCAGGATGGGATAGCTCGGCTGGTGGGTGAGGGAGGCCATTTGCTTCTCTATTATACAGTGGAAAACTCTCGTGTTTATCATCTGGAGGAGCCCAAGTGCTTGGAGATACTACCCCAGCAAGCTGATGCCATGGAACTCTTGCTCCGCTCCTACCCAGAGTTTGTGAGAGTAGGGGACTTGCCCTGTGACAGTGTGGAGGACCAGCTTTCCTTGGCAACCATGTTATATGATAAGGGGTTACTGCTCACTAAGATGCCTCTTACCTGAAGTAGTTTCTTGTTGATTGCTAGAAACAAGGCAGTAGTGATGATTCTTTCCTGTCACTACCACCACCACCTTTTTTTGGGGAAAAACTTATGTTCTTACCTTGATCACCATTGATCTGCTCACATTTACCTTTATGACTGCTTCAATGTCAGAAAACTCAGATGATCTTCTAGGAGCCTCATCTAGGTACAAAAGTAAAAGCAGAAGCTGGAGGTGGAAAAAAGGAGCCATTTCCTTCGAAGTAACCTTGATCCCTGATATTTCAGAGTACCAACCTTATCATCACCCTCAGGCTTCAGTGTACTGTGTAGCACTTGCTGTCATTCAGCTTGAGACATTAGAAGTTTTTATTGGAATTTGTTTGCATCCTTAATTTGAGTTCTTGGGGGGAGGGTTGGGGTCAGTATCTTGTTTGTTATTGTGAGTTTGTATGAATGTTAGAAAAGTTATTAAAGTGCCAAAGAATGTTTCCCTTTTCTAAGGCTAGGTTATTATGTGGCATGGTTTGAAGGGATGTGGGAGAGGGGGGAGGAAGATGGAGATGAGGTGAAAGGTAATGGGTAGTTATAGGATTGGGGCCAATTCTATAACTTTGGGGTTAATTTATTTATTTTAATCATGCTACATGAACCCCAAACAGCATAATCCTATTAGAAAAGTTCTATGTTTTTAAGAGTAGGTTATATTTTTGTTCAGTGCTTGCTTGCATCAGTGGCTTGCACTGTCTCCTAGTTATGCTATCATAGGCCTCAGTAAACCAGCTTGTAGCAAGCTGGCCCTGAGGGAAGGCTGGTGTTGAAGTTACTTTCCACTCTCATTTTTTTCTGGCAGTTGGAAGAAACTTCCCCATATCTGGCAAATGAATATTCTCATGGTTGGTGGAAAAGAGCCTGGTGTACCAAAGAGAGCACTGGATTTGGAACCAGAAGACCTGGGTTTGGGGTGGTGGCTGGTAGGCAGTTGGCTGAATGACCTGAGGCTGCTGCTACGCCTGGGCACACAGATTTTTGTAAGTATATATTGGTCCAGCTTGATGTCTGCACCTCATCATTTAAGTTGTATCTTTAACTTTTAAGATCCTGTCACCATCACTCATAGTTTCAGTTATATAAGGTTGAGAACTATATAAAGTCTTTCTTTTAAAGTTGCAAAACCATGGATGTACCTAAATTAAATATGATAGTTCTCCCTCTAGCCTCACTTTCCAGAGGTAACCAGTATTAAAGGTTAAACCTACAAGGCTTTTTTTTTTTAAATCCTCACTTGAGGACATTTTTTCCATTTTTTTTGTTGTTGTTGTTCAGATAGAGTGAGAGGGAGATAGAGAGAAACATCGACGTGAAAGGGACACATCGAGTGGTTGCCACCCACCCGACCCAACCAGGGCCGGGGACAAGCTGCAACCGAGGTACATTCCCTTAGCGGCAACCGAACCCGGGTCTCTTCGGACCGCAGACCAACATTCAATTTTTTTGTTTTTTTTATATTTTGTTCAGATAGAGTGGGAGGGAGAGAGAGAGAGAGAGAAACATCAATGTGAAGGGGACACATCGAGTGGCCGCCACCCACACAACCAACCAGGGCCGGGGACAAACTGCAACCGAGGTACATGCCCTTAGCGGGAACCGAACCCGGGTCTCTCTGGACCGCAGGCCGATGCTCTAACCGCTGAACCAAACCGGCCAGGGCTACAAGGCTTTTTTAGGGTGCTTTACAGTAGTTTCTGTTTTATTTTATACTTGTTTTTCTAATATATCCTTTTTTTAACCTAACTTTCAAATCAGTTCAAATAGAGCACCCTCATTCATTTTTTTAAGGGATAAAACAGCAAATAAAAGTGTATGTGTGGGGGAAATAACAGAAGGACTGAAGGAAAAGATGTCCAGGAAGGAAAGTAGATGGTCTTTTCTGGCTCTCATCCTACAGAGCCCACAACTAAGTCCCAAAACATGCAGGTCCTAGAAAAGGCACATTAAAAGCATAGTACTCACCCCTGGAAAACCTACCATGAAGTGTTTCTTGAAGAAAAGTATGGAGTTTTGGTGGTTTTTGCCCTTCTTTGGGTTGTAAGTAAACATGTTTTGCTTCCTCCTTCAGTTTTTTTATGACCGCCTCGATCTTGAATATTTTCTGAGTCACCAAGTCCTTTTGGCTTAGTGTTTGAATCTAGATCAGAACAAATGATATTGAAAAAAACAAATGCACCAAGCTGCAAATCATCAAAAAAACATAAAGTAACTTACTGCATCATGCTTATTAGTATTAGGTGGCACATAAATGCCTGAGAACATTGTTCTCTTGTGATATTTGTGGGACATTTTTACACCTGTTAATGAAAAATTTACTCTAACTTTTGGGGCATGATGAAAGGAACCTGCTAAGAAATGCTTGCTTGCCCTGGCCAGTTTGGCTCAGTGGTTAGAGCGTCGGCCTGCGGTCTGGAGAGACCCGGGTTCGGTTCCCGCTAAGGGCACGTACTTCGGTTGCAGTTTGTCCCCGGCCCTGGTTGGTCGTGCGGGTGGCAGCCACTCGATGTGTCCCTTCACGTCGATGTTTCTGTCTGTCTCTCCCTTCCTCTCCCTCCCTCCCACTCTATCTGTACAAAAAATGGAAAAATATCCTCGGGTGAGGATTAAAAAAAAAAAAAAAAGAAATGCTTGCTTGGTGTCAAGTTGGTTTTGTGAATTATATATGAAGAAAGAATTTTTTACATTTTTAAAGTCCTTTTCCTTCTACGCCTTCATCTCTTCTAACAGCTTTGAAAAATTAAAACCACCTGTTCAGCTAGAGTGTTCTTTTGGTAACAGAGACTAGATAAGAAATTAAGAAAAGTTCAGGAGGAAAAAGAAAACATAGGAGGCTAGCTCTAGTTCCTCATTTCTTCATTATGCCTAGCTTCAAAAAAGAACTTGGGTTTAGGGGATGGTGGAGAGAAAATGGGAAGGGAAGGAAACTATTTTACAAACAACAACAAACCCTGATTTTGAGGACTACTTGATAGAATTACAGTCGTCCCTCGTTTATCGAGGTTAATCTGTTCCAGACTCTAGCGGTTGCACCTGGCGTTGAAGGATTCCTGGGGTGCTCGAATACATAGGCCTACAGTCCATACGTACAGTAATTTTCATTGTAATTGTAATAGAGGAGTATATAATTAACTCAGACAACCGAGTTCATATTGTATTATTTTCACTGTCTCAATCAACTTTTTAATGAATATATTTGAAAAAACTGTGATAGAGTGAAGCCATGCAAGTTGAAGTGCGAAGTGACAAGGGACGGCTGTAATGGGATTTTTGTTTTGTCTTTTTCTAATAGGATGTTATAATCCTATCTTGCACAGATGTTTTGTGTCTTCAAATGATGTGTTATCTGTGTCTAGGATTGTGGAAAGTATTTCCATGATGGGAAAGAGAGTATGTGCATATACTTAGGGGCAAAAAGGGTCTGAAGAACTCTTGCAAGTCCTGAATTTTTCTTGAAAACATAGCTTGCACTTATCTACCCTGTTCTTGATTTCCTGCAGCATTTGTTGGTTTCCTTCACTTTCTAACTTGAGAATCTTCATTGCCTGGTGAATTTCCCTGAAAGATAAGAAGAACTTCTTAGATTGTTTCTATCCTTAAAAAAACCACAGGGGTGGAAAATATAGGACTTAGAATCAGATAAGAATCCTAAATTCCAATCCTAATTATGTGGTTTTGCTGAGCCTTATCTGCAAGTGGTAGCTTAGCTTATAGGAATGTTGTATAGTTTTAGAGATGATATATTTGAAGGTACTAATAGGTACCATTTATTGAATGTTTTTATGACAGGTACTGAACATGACATCTCATTAATTATCACCACAGACCCATTAAGATAAACTATTGTCTGCATTTGATAAATGAAAAAAATGAGCTTTGAGAGTTTGAGTAACTTATCCAGGCTCACATAGCTAGTGCAGGCCTGAGCTGGTATTCAAACTCTAGACTTTTTTTTTCTCTAAAGCCTGTTATCACAGTAGGCACTTTTAATACATGTTAGTTGAATAAATGAATAACAAAACCACCTGGGATAGAGAATAGGTGCGTAAACTACACGAGCTTGACTTTCTATCTAACTTAAATTAGTTTTTCTGTTACCCATTTGTGTAAGTAGGGGAATGGCACAGGTGAGCTCATGCTTTTATAGCCAGTAGGCAGCCTGGAAAGGCAGGGATATATTCTGTTAACAAGGATGTGAGAGTTGGCAGTACAAGGGGTGGTGGAGGGAACCAGAGGTTTAGTGCTTACTTTAGAACAGCATCATGGTTTTCTAGGAGCAGCACGTTTAGGAAGGTGTCCCTGACCCGGTCCCCTTGAAGTTTGAGGGCTAGGATGCTACGGCAAGCTTCTAATCGCACATCTGGTGACGCTTCATAGTGGATAGCCCAGAGCAGGAGGTCTGTCAGCTGGGGACTCACTTGGCCAATCTGTCCCAAAGCTGCAGAGATTAGAGGGCAGAATATTCCACTGTCACTTAAAACTAACCTGGCTATATCCTAACATCCAGAAATGGTCTTATTAATAAATGATGTGTAGCCCTGACCGGTTTGGCTCAGCGGTTAGAGTGTCAGCCTGAGGACCGAAAGGTTGCAGGTTTGATTTCTGGTCAAGGGCATGTACCTGGGTTGCAGATTTGATTCTTGGCTCTGGTCAGGATCATGTGGGAGTCAACCAATTGATATATCTTCCTCCTTCCCTCCCTCCCTTTCACTCTATCTAAAAATCGATGGGAAAATATCCTCGGGTGAGGATTAAAATTTAAATAAATAAATAAATAAAATAAAATAATGTGTAGGCAGCCACTTTGCTATGTTAATTATTGCAAATGCTAAACTAAATATTTGTTTTGCACCTTCTTTTTTGGATGATAATTACCATTAGAATTTTGGAGAGGGGTTTGAGTAGGACAGCTATCTCCAAGGATTCCTAGGAGGGGTGTTTCATCCCATTGTTGCCCATTAGGATATGAGAATACATTAATTTACCTATCATAAATAGGCAAATGTAGGGATGAGATATGGGACAGATAACTCAGAAAACTAGCCTAGTCAAGGCAGAGTGATGGGGAAAGGAGGTACCATAACTTCATAGGGTCGATTCTTCTAGGGACTTGCCAAAGAGAAACAATGCAAAAGATCCTTAAAAAGAAAATAGGACATGCCCTGGCTGGTTTGGCTCAGTGGTTAGAGCAGACCAGAGAGTCCCGGGTTCGGTTTCTGCTAAGGGCACATACCTTGGTTGCAGTTTGTCCCCAGCTCCGGTTGGGGTCGTGTGGGTGGCAACCACTCGGTGTGTTTCTCTCACATCGATGTTTCTCTCTCTCTCTTCCTTCCTCTCTCCCTCCCACTCTATCTGAAGATGAATGCAAAAATGACCTCAGGTGAGGATAAAAAAGTTAAAAGAAAGTAGGACATTTTGAGGACAAGGTTTAAGGTCTATAGCAGTCTTGAATGTGGTCTGACGTTTAGGATTCTGTAGTTGAAATGTCCAGAAAAAGCAAGTGTATCCAACAGTAGACATCTACTTGGAACTTATTCCTAAATTCAGTTGTTAGGGACTATCTGCCCTTTGCCTTAATAAGTTTGACATTGACCTAGATTTGTTTTTTTTTTCCCCTCACCCAAGGACATTTTTGCATTTATCTTCAGACAGAGTGGGCGGGTGGGGGGTGGGGGAAGCGAGAGAGAGAAACATCAATGTGAGAGAGACATATCAACTGGTTGCCACCCACACGATCTCAACCGAGGCCGGGGACAAACTGCAAGCAAGGCACGTGCCCTCAGCGGGAACTGAACCCGGGACTCTCTGGTCTGCAGGCCGATGCTCTAACAGCTGAGCCAAACTGGCCAGGGCAGATTTGTTTTTTTGTTTTTTTATCCTCACCCGAGGATATTTTTGCATTTATCTTCAGACAGAGTGGGAAGGAGAGAGGGGGGAAGAGAGAGAAACATCGATGTGAGAGAGACACATTGAGTGGTTGCCACCCGCACAACCCCAACCGAGGCCGGGGACAAACTGAAATCGAGGTACGTGCCCTTAGCAGAAACCGAACCCGGGACTCTCTGGTCCACAGGCCGACGCTCTAACCAAGCCAAAACCAGCCAGGGCAGATTTGGTATTCTTAACTAAAAACTTAAAAACGGAAAATAACCTTTAATTTCTCAGGTAATGAACTTCGAGCAGGTGTGATCATCCCCTCCCCTACACTTCACCCCGTTCCTAGAGAAATTCTGGGGATCACTTGTACTAGCATATGGGAATATATTTGAGATTGAGGAACTGGGACCACTCTTTTTTGTCATACCTCGAATGGCAAAGGCCTTGATTTTCCAGTAAGGGTCTCTCTCTATCAGATTCAGAAGGCATTTAAGGACCTGGAATGGGGGGAGAAAATGGGGCTGGATGGATAAAAGGCAATGTTGGGTGGAGAAGACCAGAGCAAGAATGAACCAGAGAAAGGGACCCCTCTTGTCTCTAAATTGTATTATAACTGAAAAATGACATATCAATTCTAGTGACAAATGAGCTGGAGTCTGAAGTACTAGCCTGCACATGTAATGTATTAGCTGAATTATCATATTTATAAGTTGATTTTCTCAGCTCACAGATCTATATGGTCATACTGGCTTCTTTTGAATACCTCCATCAGTTTTTCCCCTAATAACATGGGATTCCAACTTTATTCACTGGAGTTGATCCTAAAGCCCAACAATGAGGTGAGAATAGGATTCAAGGGTGTGCTCTAGAGTGAAGTCTGGCTGGCTGGGAGCTAAATGTTGTCTTAATTCATTGATGTGGCCTATATACCCCCCTCACCTTCCTGGTTCTGATCACTCATTCTGTGTCCCCACAGAATGGTGAGTGTACTATGCACAACAAGGGAAGCTCAGGGCAGTGCCCTCTTCTGGTTGATCAGGTAAGATGGGAGCATGTTTCCTTGACTCACCATTGTATTACGAATCTGTAGGGCACCTGCTGCTAAACAGGCTGCTTGCCGAACTGCCATGAAGTCATCATAGAAGCAGTGTAGGAAGCTTGGGAGAAGTTTGGCTGTCATGAGCTTGAGCCCACCAATCAGGGACAGGGCTTCCACACGCTGTTGGGGATTTCCTTGATCCAGCTTGACTCTGTAAAACACAGGTGCTTTTATTTTCCTTCCTTAAACTCTTGGTGCTACACCTTCCCCAGCAATGTCCTCAGAATAAAATCCAACCTCTGTAGGCTCTCCATTATCCATTTCTATCCTTTCCTAGTCAGCCTTATTCCCATTATAAGTTTAACTGGGTAGAGACTCAACTATCTTATTTACTTGAATCCCTATTACCTAGCATGTGCTAAGCACTAAACTGTGTTGAATAACTAAATAAAAGAAACTTTCAAACATGCACCTCTTGCTTGCTACAGTTCTCTTCACTGCCTTCACCTGTTCCATGCTTGTTTCTACATTTGGCTCCCAGCCTGGAATGTCTTTCCTTCTCTCTGCTTATGTAGTCTTATCCATCCTCCATGAAACTTGACCTTACTAGGTATTTGTGTATCTTGCCTATATAATCAGAATCATGTCATACTTTTGAACTCTTTCGGTCATCTAAAGCTGTGCCTAACACTAGTGGCACTCAATTAATGATTCTTTCCTTAGCCACATTGTTAGTGTCTATAGGGACTGTTAACTTTTTGTTTTATTTAAAAAAAAAAAAAATCCTGCAGTGGAACCTAGTACAATGCTGAGCATACAGAGCAGCTCCACAAGGCTGGCTCGCTGGATCCCAGGGCCCCTGAACCCTTTTAAGACTGGCTGGATCCCAGGGCCCCTGAACACTTTTAAAATTAGAAAAGTTGCCCTGGCCGGTTTGGCTCAGCAGTTAGAGCGTCGGGCCATAGACCAGAGAGTCCCAGGTTCAGTTCCCGCTAAAGGCACATACCTTGGTTGCAGTTTGTCCCCGGCCCCGGTTGGGATCGTGTGGGTGGCAGCCCCTTGATGTGTCTCACATCAATGTTTCTCTCTCTCTCTTCCTCCCTCTCTCCTTCCCGCTCTATCTGAAGATAAATGCAAAAATGTCCTTGGGTAAGGATTAAAAAAAAAAAAGATTAGAAAAGTTTCTTGCTTCACATTGACTCAGTTTACCTGATTGTGTTATGCACCTCTTTCCCAAGACTCATTTGTCCCAGAGCTATGGCAGCTGCATGTCTTACTTCCTTATTCCAATCACTCCACATCAACTGGATCAACTTATGTTTCATATCCTATAAATAGGTATAATAATTAGCTATGATTTATTTAACATTAATTTTGTACTTGACATTGTGATAAAAGTTTTACCCATCACTTAATCCTCTCAAACAGTCCAGTGAAGCAGATATTACCATTTACAGATGACAAAATGAAGGTTTAGATTTACTTGCCCATGGTTAACAAGTTGAGTGCTGGAGCCAGGACTCAGACCCAGGTCTATTTTCCAGGCTCATATTTTACTATATTATGTCAGGGACAATGTAATCTGTACTTGAGAGACATAAAATTTGAAGCTGACACAACTCATCCCAATTTACATGTTATTTGCCTGAGTTTAATACAAAAACTGTTATGGTCCTGGCTGGTTAGGCTCAGTGGTTGAGCATTGGCCTGTGGACCTAAGAATCCCGGGTTCGATTCCGGCCAAGGGTATGTACCTGGGTTGTGGTTAGTCCCCAAGCCCAGTTGGGATTATGCAGGTGGCAACCAGTTGATGTGTCTCTCTCACATTGATGTTTCTCTCTCTCTCTCTCTCTCTCTCCCTCCCTCCCTCCCACTCTGTCTGAAGATAAATGTAAAAATATCCTCAGGTGAGGATTAAAAATAAATAAAGTCCAGCTGATGTAGCTCAATGGTTGAGCTTCAGCCCATGCACCAAGAGGTCGCCGGTTCAATTCCTGGTCAGGGTACCTGCCCAGGTTGTGGGCCCAATCACCAGTGTGGGGCATGCAGGAGGTGGCCAATCTACGTTCTCTCTCATCGATGTTTCTATCTCTCCCTCTCCCTTGCTCTCTCTAAAATCAGTTAAAAAACAAAACAAAACTGTTATGTCCTGGAGAAACCATGACAGTTGGCTACCTATATACATTGATACTTCTCTCAGAGGGGAAGGGACAAAGATTATTGCAGTTGTAGTTAATGATTGTGTAAATGTGTCCAAGCTATTCTCTTTGCCAAAAAAATCTCCCTTTTTCACCCCTACCTGATACTAGATGTTTTCCTACTCTGCTTTTTTATGATTTAGCTCAAAAAGCATCTCCTCAGTGACCTCTATAAGCATAGGAAAACCCCATAATACCATAAAACTGCTGTTACAGTTATTTATAACCAAGTGAAGACATTATCTTTGCATCTCCAATGCTAGATACCCTTGCATGGTGTATAACATGTAGGATGTGGTCAGAAACTGCTTGCTTACTGAATAGGTGAACTGATGAATATACTGGTTTTTTTTAATCCTCACTCAGGATATTTTTCCATTGATTTTTATTTTATTTTTTATTTTTATTTTTATTTATTTTTTTGTTCAGGTAGAGCGGGAGGGAGAGAGAGGAACAGAGAGAGAGAGAGAGAAATATCGATGTGAAAGGAACACATCGAGTGGCTGCCACCCGCACGACCAACCAGGGCCGGGGACAAACTGCAACCGAAGTATGCGCCCTTAGCGGGAACCAAACCTGGGTCTCTCAGGACCGTAGGCCGACGCTCTAACCGCTGAACCAAACCGGCCAGGGCTCCATTGATTTTTAGATAGAGTGGGAGGGAGGGAGGAAGAGAGAGAAATATTGATGCAAGAGAATCTTGATTGGCTGCCTCCTACATGACCTTGACCAGGGCCTGCGATTAAACCTGAAACCCAGGTATGTGCCCTTGACCAGAATCAAACCTGCAACCCTTTGGTCCCCAGGCCAACGCTCTAACCAGTGAGCCAAACCATCCAGGGTCTTACTGCCTTTCTTAATTCCAGCAATCTGATACAAAGTTCCCATTTTTACCCTCTCCCCTGCTTGCTCTGCATGTCTTTTTACTTTTTTTTTTATCCTCACCCGAGGATATTTTTCCATTTTTTGTACAGATAGAGTGGGAGGGAGAGAGAGGAAAGAAGAGAGAGAGAGAAACATCGACGTGAAGGGACACATCGAGTGGCTGCCACCCGCACGACCAACCAGGGCCGGGGACAAACTGCAACCGAAGTACGTGCCCTTAGCGGGAATCGAACCTGGTCTCTCCGGACCGCAGGCCAACGCTCTAACCGCTGAGTCAAACCGGCCAGGGCTGTCTTTTTACTTTTAATCTTGAGTGACAACTGCTAAGGGGATAAATGTGCAAATGAATCAGATGTTAAAATGATACTGTTAAAGTGCAGATTCTGACTCAGTTGACCTGAGGTGAGATTTTGAACTTCTAACAAGCTCTCAGGTGATGCCTGTGCTCCTGGTCCAGGACTTTAGCAGCAGGGTACTATAGCAGTTGAGGCAGAATTAACTCAGACTAAAATGTCTTCAGGTGATTGTAGTGAATGACCAGATTTTGTGCTTTCCACATCAAAATGCGAGGATCAAAGAGTGGAGGGTCTTAACTCCTCATGGGAATGGGAATGTTCTGGGCCATTTTGGAGGTACTTTGTGTTATAAGGAAAAGCTATAGGGACACATAGGAAGAAGGGGAAAATCCCATTTGGATAGCTGACGATGATTAAAAAATAATGGCAAGAAGAAACTTGGTTTCCATGCCAAAGTCCCCCTTCAGTTCTATCCAAGTCTTTCTCAGCTATACCATACTTCTTCACAGAATTTGAACTGATAATTTCAGCCTATACTAACCTCTCTCTGAAAAGTTTTAAGAGCACCTTACATTTATTGCTTGTTCTTCAACCATTTGTGTGTGTGTTAGTCTTGTTACTCCAAATATAATGTCAGTTTTTGAAATTGGGGTCTATGTTTTATACCTTCCATGTGTGTGCTAAACACTCAGGGAAAGCCAGCACAGACACTAGTATAGTTGGGTTGTTGGGCAGTTGAAGTCAGTGCTGCTTAAACTGTCTGTAATAAAGGACCAGTATTTGAGTGGGAAAATGTCATTGACTGATACTTATGTAGTACATTGATATTGGGGTAATGTCAAATTACTATAAAAGTTTTTTTTTAATTGATTTTAGAGAGAGGGAGGAAGGGAAAGAGAAGCATCAATTTTGTTCCACTCATTTATGCATCCATTGGTTGATTCTTGTGTGTGCCCTGATCAGGGATCGAACCCACAACCTTGGCATATCCGGATGACCCTCTAACCAACTGAGCTACCTGGCCAGAGCGACTATACACATTTTTAATTTTTTTTTTTATCCTCATCCGAGAACATTTTTCCAATTTTTGTACAGATAGAGTGGAAGGGAGAGAGAGAGAGAGAAACATCGACGTGAAAGGGACACATCGAGTGGCTGCCACCTGCACGACCAACCAGGGCCGGGGACTAACTGCAACCAAAGTACGCGCCCTTACAGGAACCGAACCCGGGTCTCTCCGGACCGCAGGCCAACACTCTAACCGCTGAGCCAAAACGGCCAGGGCGACTATACACATTTTTAAACTCTTGGATTTTTTTTTTTTGTGGGTGACTTATAGACAGTTTATGGACTGCCACCAGGCTGAGAAGCAGTAGCTTAAGTCACAGAAAGAAATTATTTAAAAATTATTTGAAAAAACTATTTGAAAATAATTTTGGGTTAGGAATAAAAGGTGGTAATGCGAGCCCTGGCGGGTTTGGCTCAGCGGTTAGAGTGTCGGCCTGCGGTCTAGAGAGACCCGGGTTCGGTTCCTGCTAAGGGCACATAACTCAGTTGCAGTTTGTCCCCCGCCCTGGTTGGGCAACCACTTGATGTGTCCCTTTCACGTCGTTGTTTCTCTCTCTCTCTCTCCCTCTCACTCTATCTGAACAAAATATTGAAAAATGTCCTCGGGTGAGGACATTTAAAAAAAGGTGGTAATGCGAGAGCGGTAGGGAGCGTGCAGGAGGCAGCTGATCAATGTCACACTCTCACATCAGTGTTTCCTTCTCCTTCTCCCTTTGTCTCTCTCAAAATCAGTAATCTATTTTTTCATCCTCACCGAACGATATTTTTGTATCTTCAGAAAATAGAATAGAAGGGAGAGAGAGAGACAGAGAGACATAGATGCGAGAGGGACACATCCAGTGATTGCCTCCCACACAACCCCAACCAGGGCCGGGGAAAAACTGCAACCCAGGTACGTGCCCTTGACCAGAATCAAAACTACATGTCCTTGACCAGAATCAAACCCGCAACTCACTGGTCTGTGGGCCAACGCTCTAACTGCTGAGCCAAACCGGCCACGGCAGTAATCTATTCTTTAAAAAAACACACACAAAAAGACAAAACCCTGCCCTGGCGTTTGGCTCAGCTATTGGAGCATCGGCCTGTGGACCAGAGTCCCGGGTTCGGTTCCTGCTAGGGGCACATACCAAAGAAAAAAAACAAAAAAAAACAACCCTAGCTGATTTGGCTCAGTAGTTAGAGCCTTTGGACTGAGAATCTTGGGTTCAATTCCTGGTCAATGGCCAACATGCCTGGGTTACAGGTGTGATTCCCCAGCCCTGGTCAGGGTATGTGCAAGAGGCAACCAATCAATGTGTCTCTCTCATATTGATGTTTCTCTCTCTTCTCTCTCTCTCTCTCTCTCTCTCTCTCCCTCCCTCTCTTCCTCCTCGCTCTAGATATCAATGGAAAAGTATCCTGGGGTGAGGATTAACAAAAAAATAAGTAAATAAATAAATAAACAACAACAACTATAAATAAATAAGTAAAAAGAATGGGATATGCCTGGCTGGTGTGGCTCAGTGGTTGAGCATCGAGCCATGCACCAAGAGATCGCCGGTTCAATTCCCAGTCAGGGCACACGCCCAGGTTGTGGGCCAAATTTCCAGGTAGGAGGCATGCTGGAGGCGGCCAATCGATGTTCTCTCTCATTGATGTTTCTATCTCTCTCCCTCTCCCTTCCTCTTTATAAAAATCAATAAAGAAAAAAAAATTAAAAGAATGGATATTAGATACAGCAAAAGGTAGAAGCGTTCTCTAGCCTAGACTTTCTGTCCTGAAAACAGAGAAAGAGAAGACTTACCAAACAGACATTTCCAGTGATCTGCGAGAGAGCCCGGCAGGCCATAACCCGGTCCTTCCATTGACGGCTGTTCAGCTCCACAGCAAGCATGGTGTGTATCAGGGTCTAAGAAAATGGAAGATTTATATGGATTATTCATCATCTTTACAGATACTAGAACCGTGAATAACTTCCATTTTGACATGGCATCCAGCATAATGTCCATCCCTACCCTAGCAAGGAGTAGGTTTACAAAATATGGAGCACTGTTCCATCTAAGCCAGTGATTTTCAACTTTTTCATCTCATGGTACATATAAACTAATTGCTTAAATTCTACAGCACACTAAAAAATATATTTTTTGCCTATCTAACAAAAGAAAAATTAGGTATGATTTTGATTCATTCACCCCAGACAGCTATTGTGTTGGCTATTGTCATTATTTTATTTGACAATCTAAGGCAGTGGTTCTTAACCTGTGGATCATGACCTTTTTGGGGGTCAAATGACCCTTTCACAGGGGTAGCCTAAGACATAACAGTAGCAACAGTTATAAAGTAGCAACAAAAATAATTTTATGGTTGGGGGTCACCACAACATGAGGAACTGTATTAAAGGGTCACGGCATTAGGAAGGTTGAGAACCACTGGAGGGAAAAGAAATAGGTATTGCACATTTTAAAAATACTTGGGGTGGCCCTGGCCAGGTAGCTTGGTCATTTGGAGCATCGTCTTGAACACCAAAAGGTTGTGGATTTGGGTTCAATTCCTGGTCAGGGTGCATACTGGAGGCATTTGATCAATGTTTTTCTCTCATATCGATATTGTGTTTTTTTTCTCTCTCTCCCTCTCTGTAAAATCAATAAAAAACATTCTCGGGCCGTGGCCAGTTTGGCTCAGCAGTTAGAGCATTGGCCTGCGGTCCAGAGAGACCAGGGTTTGGTTCCTGCTAAGGGCACGTACTTCGGTTGCAGTTTGTCCCCGGCCCTGGTTGGTCCTGCGGGTGGCAGCCACTCTATGTGTCCCTTTCACGTCGGTTTCTCTCTCTCTCTCTCTTCCTCTCTCTCCCTCCCATTCTATCTGAACAAAAAATGGAAAAATGTCCTCGGGTGAGGTTAAAAAAAAAAAAAATCCTCGGGTGAGGATTAAAAATTAATATTAAAATAGCTCTGGCCGGTTTGGCTCAGCGGTTACAGTTGTGGCCCCTGGACCAAAGGGTGGTGGGTTCGATTCTTGGTCAGGGGCCTGTACCTGGGTTCCAGGTTCCATCTCCATACTCGGTCTGGGTCGAGTGGGAGGCAACCAATTGATGTGTCTAATATCGATGTTTCTGCCCTGGCTGGTTTGGCTCAGTGGTTAGAGCGTCAGCCTGCGGTCCAGGGAGACCCGGGTTGAGTTCCCGCTAAGGGCGCTTACCTTGGTTGCAGTTTGTCCCCGGCCCTGGTTGGTTGTGCGGGTGGCAGCCACTCAACGTGTCCCTTTCACGTTGATGTTTCTCTCTTCCTCTCTCTCCCTCCCACTCTATCTGAACAAAAAATGGAAAAATGTCCTGGGTGAGGATAAAAAAAAAAATCGATGTCTCTCTCTCCCTCCCCCACCTCCTTCCACTCTATCTAAAAAATAATGGGAAAATATCCTTGGGTAAGGATTAACCTAAAAAAAAATTATAATAAAATAAAAATTCTTGGAGCACACCAGTTGAAAATCGCTGATCTAAGCCAACTGATGCTGGGATCATGAATCAAACAAAATATAGATTTTGTAACCTGAACAGAAAACCCCTGGGGCTTACTCTCTATTTATTTATTTATTTGAGAAAGAAGAAGGGGAGAGAGAGAAAGAAAGGTAGAAAGAAACATCAACTGTTTTTTGACCTCTTCACACACTCACTGGTTGATTCATGTATGTGCCCTGATGAGGGATCGAACCCACAACTTTGGCATATTGGGACAGCATTCCTCTTCCTGACTTTAACTATCTTTACCCCTAAAATGATTTTTATATGCCTCAATCTTTGTATTTCACATTTCTGCTGAAAATAAACAGAATTGAATGTCTGTGTGGTTTTCAAGGGTAAATTTATAGGAGTAAATTCTACATATTAGAACTCTTCTTGCATACACAGAAATCATCTGCTTTTCTTACCTTTCTCTGAGCTAGCTGTTACTTTTCCTTGTATATACCTCTACACCCCAGCTCAACCACACTGAATCCAGTTTTACCTATGCTTGAGATCATCCTGCCCAACCACCTGCATTTTTTATTCTTTACACATGCACTGATCGCAAAGACCCAGTTTTCCAAAACTTGGTTTCTTTTTCTGACCCTGTAATGGACACATACCGTCTTCCCACTGAGATGTTTCAGGAGCATGTAAGCCTGGTCCTCGGTGTCCTCATTCTTCTTGTTAAACAGCTGATGGAGAATCCTCTTAATCACGGGGTAAGTGGCTGTACCCTCCAAAGCCAAGCACTGAGCTGCAACCCAGCTGTCTATGCTATTATCTGCCACAGTGGAGTGAAAAAAGGAGTCCAGATAAGTGACATGTTTTCCCCACAGAAAGCACAGCCTTTGGGTTGGTACCCAAGGCTGCTACCTGCCTGATATCTTACTTCTCTGTGCCCCTCTCAGTTTAGAAATTCAAGCCCATATTTAAACGATATTTAAATGGGTCATATGAAGGTTTTAAGTATAGACAAAATCTTAACCTGAAAAGGTAAATCCTAAAAGTCTCTTGTTAGGTAACAGCAACAAGGCACTTCTGAGAGATACAGTTGTTCCTCCCCCTAAGAGATTAAGAGAGGCTTTCCTAAGACAGATGAAGTTATTGAGTGTCTATATGCAGAAGGCCAAACAAGTCAGTTGTCCTTGTCTGTCCTCACTTCCAGACAAGGAACAAGCACATCTCTGAGCAGTTAAGCACCTTGGGCATATCACTTGACGTTTTTGCTTGTATTACTCCAACAATGCATGTGGACAATGCCTATAAGTTAATGTGCAATAATGGAAGCATGATGTGTTCAAGTGGTGATTTTATAATTTTCAGAAAGTATTCTTTAATACTGTTACATCATATTTTCAATTAAGAGAAAATCCATCCCTGCCGGAGTGGCTCAGTGGTGGCCAGTTCGATTCCTAGTCAGGGCACATGCCCAGGCTGTGGGCCTGATCCCCAGTGGGGGGCATGCAGGAGGTGGCCAGTCGATGTTCTCTCTCATTGATGTTTCTCTCTCCCTCTTTCTTCCTCTCTTTCTAAAATCAATAAAGAAAAAATATTAGAAAGAGAGAAAGGAAGGAGGGAGGGAGGGAGGGAGGAAGGAAGGAAAAAAGGAAGGAAGAAATGGAGGGAGGAAGGGAGGGAGGGAAGAAAAAGAAAGAAAATCCAGTTGTGTGATAGGGCATGGTTGGTTTCTAGTCATATGTATCTATGAACCACTTAGCCAAGGTACCACTAGGTGGCAGTGTACCTACTTTGTAAAAGTACCTAGGATGAACTAATTTTTTTTTTTTATGTTCTAAAATGAACATAAACCCAATACAGTAGACATTACAGAGCATGATAGTGGAGAAGATAAGATTAGCAGAAGCTATTGGTAAGATATCTTCTCTTTACCCCATATTCCCAGGTCAGAAGAAACGGAGTTACTCACCCTTCTCAAGGACAGTCTGCATGATGTCCTGGGCAAGGGGATTATGTGACTGTATGGCATATTGGCATACCGCTGCTGCCATCTGCACATTGAGATTCTTGTCACAAAGAGCAGCCTCCAGAGCAGGCCGTAAAACCTCTGGCAAGTCCTGGATTGATTGGGCTTTCACAGTCTCCTTATCTGTGATCAAAAAAGAGAGCTAGAGAAGAGAGTGCTAGCCCCCTTGCTTTTCCCTGAAACACAGCTTCCTTCCCACAGCCACATCCTTGGTGGCCAACCTCAGTTTCAGTTGCAGGTGCTTACTTTCACGTAATATAATTAGACTTTAGTTGGGCCCCTACAATGGACAGTATTTTATAGCTCACTTCTGTGCTGGGTGTACCAGTTCCCAATCCTTTATCATCTGGCTTCTTAGGAGCTATATTCAATCCAAAGAAGAATGTTTCCAGCTAGGCTATGGTGACTTACACCATTAGTTTTAGTGATAAAAATCAACTTTTTTACTTTACATATTTTTCTATTTTTACATTACATTTTGTAATATTTTTAATAACAATTACATTCAGGTAGTACTTTGACATTTATATGGTGTTTTCATATTTATCTCATTCTTCCAACTTTCATTGAAGTAGGCAAGGCAGGTATTATGCAGAGCTCACCTGAAATATGTGTGTTTTGGGAATCTTGGTTTAACTAAACAGTCTCACAAGACTATCATAGGTCACACACGGTACCAGTCTTCAGAAGGATATGGGATTGGGGGACAGTTGCCAACAGGGCAGCATCAGGTATTCCTTTTGGCCAGAGTTCTTTTTTTAATACTTTTTCTTTATTAATTTTAGAGAGAAAGGAAGGGAGGAGAAAGAGATAGAAACATCGATGAGAGAGAACATCAATTGGCTACCTCCTGCATGCCCACCACTGGGGATGAAGCCCACAACCTAGGCATGTGCCCTGACTGGGAATCGAACTAGTGACCTCTTGGTGCATGGGTTGATGCTCAACCACTGAGCCACACTGGCTGGGCCTGGCCAGAGTTCTTGAGGTGGTTTGTATAGCATTCTACAGAGCCTTCTGGGGACAACTCAGGAGCATGGAATCCACTCTGAGTAGAAGTCTTTTCTTTCTTTAATTGTTGAAAGTATTACAAATGTCCCCCTTTTTCCCCCATTGAATCCCTCCTTCCCGCTCCCACCCCCTCCTGCCTTCCCCAGCCTAGTGACCATGTGGATTGGTTATGCATATATGCATATAAGTTCTTTTGTTTATTTGTATCCACCCCTCCAACCCCCTATCTCTCTGAGGTTTGTTAGTCTATTCCCTACTTCCATGACTCTGACCCTGGATCTCTTTTGGTTGACAGCTTATTTTGTTCATTATTTTCCACAAATACGTGAGATCATGTCTTATCTTTCTCTGACTGGCTTATTTCTCTTAGCATAATACTCTCCAGGTCCCTCATGTTGTCTCAAAGGGTAAGAGATCTCTTTTTCATAGCTGCATAGTATTTCATTGTGTACCACAGTTTTTTTTTATCTGCTAATCTACTGATGGGCACTTGGGCTGTTTCCAGATCTTAGCTATTGTAAATAGTGCTACTATGAACATAGGGGTGCATATATTCTTCCTCATTGGTGTTTCAGGCTTCTTAGGATATATTCCAAGAAGTGGGATCATTGGGTCAAATGGCAGTTCCATTTTTTTTTTTTTCAGGGCAGCAATATCTTTTTTATTTTATTTATTCATTTTTTAAAAATCTTTTTATTATTATTATTATTATTTTTTTTTATCCTCACCAGAGGACATTTTTCCATTTTTTGTTCAGATAGAGCGGGAAGGAGAGAGAGGAAGAGAGAGAGAGAAACATCGATGTGAAAGGGACACATCAAGTGCACGACCAACCAGGGCCGAGGACAAACTGCAACCGAGGTACATGCCCTTAGTGGGAACCAAACCCGGGTCTCTCTGGACCACAGGCCGACGCTCTAACTGCTGAGCCAAACCGGCCAGGGCTAAAAATCTTTATTGTTGTATGTATTACAGATGTTCCTCATTTTCCCCCCAATGACCCCCATCCTCCCCTGTCCCGCCCCCCTCCCACCTTTTCCCATACTATTGTCTGTGTCCATTGGTTATGCATATAAGGTCTTTGGTTTATTTCTTTTCATCCCCCAACCCCTTTCCCTCTGAGGTTTGTCATTCTAGCAATGAATTTGTACTTCTTAATCCCTTCACCTTTTTCACCCACTCCCCCAATCCCCCTCCCATCTGGCAACCAATAAAATGTTCTCAGTATCTATGAGAATGTTTCCGTTTGGCCTGTTCATTTTGTTTGTAGATTCCATTGTCAATAGATATGTATTCATTGCCATTTTGTTTGTTCGTATATTTTATCTTTTTCTTCAAAAAGACCCTTCATCATTTCATATAATAACGGTTTGGTGGTGATGAACTCCTTTAACTTTTTCTTGTCTGGGAAACTCTTTATATGGCCATCGATTCTAAATGACAGCTTTGCAGGATAGAGTAATCTTGGTTGTAGGTCCTTGCTTTTCATCACTCTGAATATTTCTTGCCACTCCCTTCTGGCCTGCAAAGTTTCTTTTGAGAAATCAGCTGACAGCCTTATGGGAATTCCCTTGTAAGTACCTAACTGCTTTTCTCTTGCTGCTTTTAAGATTCTCTTTCTCTTGAACCTTTTGCATTTTGATGATGATGTGTCTTGGTGTGGGCCTCTTGGGGTTCATCTTGTTTGGGACTCTGTGCTTCCTGGACTTGTATGGCTGTTTCCTTCACCAAGTTAAGAAAGTTTTCGCCATTATTGTTTCAAACAGGTTTTCAATTTCTTGTTCTCTCTCTTCTCCTTCTGGCACCCCCAAGATGCGAATGTTGGCATGCTTGAAGTTGTCCCAGAGGCTCCTTACACTATCCTCATTTTTTTGGATTCCTTTTTCTTTTTACTGTTCTGATTGGGTGTTTTTTGCTTCCTTATATTCCAAATCGATGGTTTGCTTCTTGGATTTACGTACTATTGAATCTTTGTAAATTATTCTTTATTTTAGTTAAAGCCTCCTTCGTTTCTAACTGTGCATCCATCATTTCTGACTGGTCCTTTTTTATGCTCTTGAGTCCCTCACTAAGTTCACTGAGCATTCTTATAAGCAGTATTTTGAACTCAGCATCTGTTAGGTTGCTTATCTCCATTTCGCTTAGTTCTTTTCTTGGGGTTTTGTTCTGTTCTTTCATTTGGGACCTGTTTATTTGTCTCCTCATTTTGGCTGCCTCCCTGTGTTTGTTTCTGTGTATTACTTAACCAGAGGTATGGGGCTAGCTGAGACCAGATGCTGCTTGTTTGAAAGAATTTAGGAACATCTGAAGCAGGATCCAAGACAGGCCAATCCTATGGTTAAGCAAGTGGCAACAGCTTGGGTGGGACTGAAAGTTGGGTGGGGCAGAGCCTCAGGGAATCACCAGGGCGGAGCTACCAGTGTGAGCCAGGTTGCTGGAGTCTCAGATATGGTGACTGTCTGCCGCCCCAGGGAAGGGCTCACCAAAGGTCTGACAGCATGTTTGTCCCGGAGAAAGCCCCCACTCCAGCCCTCGCTCCAGTGCCAAACAGCTCAGTTCTTCCCTGTATGTCTCTGGCGTCCCTCGAGCTGCCTCCCCTCCAAGCTTAGAGGGAGCGAGTCCGATAAGTCTGTGCGAGGGCCCTTTAAGGAGCTGCCTGGGGCTCCAGCCGCCTCGGCCTCCCTGAGCCTCAGTTCCCACTGGTTTTTCCAGCCAGAAGTTATGGGGACTTCTTTTCCTGGCACTGGAATCCTGAGCAGGGCATTTGGTGTGGGACAGGGACCCCTCAGTCCTCAGGAAGGACCTTCCCAGCCGAGGTGTCCTCCTGATTTTTATCCGCCACACGTGGGTGTGGGACCAGCCTGTCGCGCCTCTGCCCCTCCTACCAGTCTCGATGTGGCTGCTGCTTTAATTCCATAGTTGTAGGACTTCCATTCAGCTTGATTTCAGGTGGTTTTGAATGATGGTTGTTCTGTAGTTTAGTTGTAACTTTGATGTGGTTGTGGGAGGATGCGATACCGCATTTACCTATGCTGCCATCTACTTTTTTTTTTCTTTTTTTTTTATCCTCACCTGAGAACATCTTTTCGCTTTTTGTTCAGATAGAGTGGGAGGGAGAGAGAGTAAGAGAGAGAAACGTCGACATGAAAGGGACACATCGAATGGTCACTGTCCGATAGCCTGGGAACTGGCGCTAGGCAAATTGTTCAGCCATTACCTCGCTTACCCAACCTAGACTCCCACCCTGTCTCAGGATCTGTTTGCCCGGAACTCATAGATCAACTCCTGTCCTATTCTCCTGTCCTAGTCCAGGAACTGTTTGCCCCGGGACAACAGACTCACATTCCAGGGGCTCCCATGCATAGCTCCTCAGGACCTAACCCCAACAACAAGTTCCCGCTGCCATAGGCGCAGATACAACAATCACAAACCCCAGCATCGGGCGCGGCTTCTAGGACTCGACCCCCGGAGTCTGTGAACCCGCCCGGAGTGTACCCAATAAAGCCTGATTTCTGCTTATTTGGCTGTTTTGCTCTTCGGTTTCTTTCCACCTCCCACCAGTGGCGCCTGGCTACCTTACAGTCACCACCCGCACGACCCAACCAGGTTCGGGGACAAACTGCAACCAAGGTACGTGCCCCTAGCGGGAACTGAACCCGGGTCTCTCAGGACCACAGGCCGATGCTCTAACCGCTGAGCCAAACCGGCCAGGGCCATTTTTAATTTTTTGAGGAAACACCATATTGTTTTCCATAATGGCTGCACCAATCTGCATTCCCACCAGAAGTGTACTGGAGTCTCCTTTTCTCCACATCATCGCCAGCACTTGTTTGAGGATTTGTTGACGGCTGCCATTAAAACAAAAATTTAAAAACCTGCAACTTTGTAGAGCTAAAATCAATTCCTGCCCTTAAGGAGTTCCTTGCCTGCTAGGAATGGCAGAAAAGTAACAGATAGTTATGATAGTGATTAATATTAGGATGCTACCAGCAGCAGATAAAGGTGTCAGCACAGGCTTCACATAAAAGGTTACTGAGAGGGTGTTTGAGGGACAAATGTTAGTTGGCTTTTATGTCCTTTCAATGGCATTTATAGTTTCCATCATCTGAGTCCTATGTCTTGTTATTTTATTTAAATCCTCACCCGAGGACATTTTTTCATGTTTTGTTCAGATAGAGTGGGAGGGAGAGAAACAACATTGATGTGAAAGGAACACATTGAGTGGCTGCCTCCCGCACGACCCAACCAGGGCCAGGGGCAAACTGCAACCGAGGTACGTACCCTTGGCAGCAACTGAACCTGGGTCTCTCTGGACCTCAGGCCGATGCTCTAACTGCTGATCCAAACCGGCCAGGGCTCCTGTGTCTTGTTAAACCATCTCTTCAGTACATTACAGTTCTTACCTGTTTTTGCTACCTGAAAGAAATCTGAAGAGGATTTTCACATTTATGGGAAAAAAGCCATTACCAGCCCTGGCCGGTTTGGCTCAGCGGTTAGAGCATTGGCCTGCGGTCCAGAGAGTCCCGGGTTCGGTTCCTGCTAAGGGCACGTACCTCGGTTGCAGTTTGTTCCTGGCCCTGGTTGGGTTGTGCGAGTGGCAGCCACTCAATGTGTCAATGTTTCTCTCTCTCTCTCTCTCCCTCCCACTCTATCTGAACAAAAAATGGAAAGATGTCCTCGGGTGAGGATAAAAAAAAAAAAGCCATTACCGCCGTACTCATGTGGGTCTTCATGAAAGCGAAGTAGTACATCAAACTTTCAGAAAGGGGGGGATAATGCTTTGCTTTGTGCCACTTTGGCTTACAAAGGATTTCATAGGAACATTCCACTTTCAGATAGCAGGGGAAACCTGTAAATAGTATTGTCAAGCAGTCCAGTCTGGTTCTCACCTGAGTCCCCCTGGCTGATGGCAGTCCGGGGTCGTTCTAAAGCAGCTGTGGCACATGTGACGATGGCTTGGATCCGAATATCATCATTCATGTCCACTAATTTCCGCAGCAGACCCTCAACTGTCTCATGGTGCCACTCGATGACTGTGGCATAGGGAGGAAAATGAGAAGAGAACCATCTGGTTAGGGTTAGATACTAGACTACAGGCAGGTGACAAGACGTCCCCTTCTTCCCAGGACAATTCAAGTAAAATATTAACTCAGAAAAATAAAGGGCCCCAGAGATGAGATCCATAGGGAAGTTATTTCTTTGATGATCCATGTACTCTCTAGGTCAGTTCCCAAACAATGCTCCCTGCCTCACCCCATCTCATCCTATATTCTGTCTCTCTCTGCTTAAATAACTTCATTGTTACCATCTGGAAAATAAAAGAGGCAATTAAACATGGTGGTTAAAGGCACATTATCAGACATAGCTGGTTTGGAATCATAGTTATTAGCTGTGTGACCCTGGATAAGTTACTTCACCTGAGCTTGAGACTTTTCATTTGTAAAATGGGAATACACTAGAACCTACCATATTGATTGACTAAGTAGTAAATGAGTTAACTAGACAACGTTTAGCAAAATACCTAGCAAGTTATCATCAGGTTTCCTTGCCTTTGAGAACTCCTCCATTTGCTTTCAAGATCTTCCTCATTTTATTGCTAACTGCTCTCTTTGTAGGTATCAAGCTTTTGTTTTAGTGCTCCCACCATCTGTAGTTGCTCCCTACTAGTAGCTTTTACTCAGTATCTCTTTTCCAACCCTTTTATGCTTTCCTGATCCAGTTTACAAAATGAATCACCTCTTTTTTCCTGCACTAACTAAATTTGTTCCTTATGTTCTGAAAGGCAGCAGCCCTTGAATCCTCAAATCTTGTAGCTTTAACCCTGGCTGGTATGGCTCAGTTGGTTGGGTGGTGTCCCCATGCACCAAAAAGTTGCTGGTTCAATTCCCAATCAGGGCACATGTCTGGGTTGTGGGCTGGACCCCGGGTAGGGGCATGCAGAGGCAGACAATCTTTGTTTCACTCTTACATCAATGTTTCTCTTTCTCTCTCCCTCTCCCTTCCTCTCTCTCTAAAATAGCAATAAAAATATTATTTTTAAATCTTGTACCTTTCAACAGTCCTTGCCAGGCCCTTACTCTGCTCCAGGCACTCAGACTTCTACTCCAATATCTCTGAAGGCAGAGTGTATATATGATAATCCCAACTCCACAAATGAATTTTGGACAACTACTGTTTATATCATAGACAACTACCATTTATTTTGATTGTTATATTTCCATTGCTTGGGCAGCCTATTTCGTTCTTCCCTTCACGTATCATTTATTGAATATAAAGTTTCAGAGGTCAGTAAGTTAGAGTCCCTGCCCGTGAAGCGTTCTCAATATAGTGAGTTTCCACAAATTACTAAAGTTAATTTGCCCATGCGTAAAACATCCAGATACATATCAACTAGCACTGTGTGAAAGGCTCTTTGTCTAGTCTAACCTGATGAGGCAACCAGATTTTTATATATTAGAGAGGGATGGATTTTCAAAGACTGAGAAACTCTAGTCCAAGGTGAAACCCTCCTCCCTCACAAATACATACTGATATCTCCCAATGCCCCTGCCCCTTCACTCACTTAGATCCCAGGTAGTCTTCCATTCCTGCAGCATCCTCCGCAGGACCACCAATTTCCAGGTCACATTCTCCTTCAGTGATTCTTTCTTGATCTTTGTGGGCTCGTCCTCCTCACCCACCTGCAGCAGCAGATCCTTGGCCGGAATGGGCAAAGCAGTCCAGCGCAGGGCTCCTATCACGGGCCTACAAGCTGTGCAGTGTGGCAATATGAGATATTCTCGCCCCACCGCCCTAGGCCCTGTGTTCCAGCTAGCATCACATTCCTATTCCTGACTAAGACCAGGGCAAACCAGTACTCTCAAGAGTGAACTTTCCTGTGACTTTAAAGGGAACTTATTACAAGTCCCATAGGGAGTTATGAGAAGTCCTGACTACAGACCTGATAAAGCCATGATGGTGGGGGACAGAGAGCAGGCAAAAAAAGCTGAGCTATTTACAAATCTTTCTATAAGTTTAATCAATCTTTAGGAACATAAGTATGTTTATATGTAAAAAGGGTTTGCTCATAAAATTTAATATTTGATATACTGCAATTTAGATTGTAATAGGCCATTAATTCCTAATTTATTAGGTTTTCTTTTCAATATTTTTAATTTGGGAGGAGAAATGGTCTTATAAGCTGCTACATTTTTAAAAGATTTTAGCCCTGGCCAGTTTGGCTCAGCAGTTAGAGCCTTGGCCTGCAGTCTGGAGAGACCCGGGTTTGGTTCCCGCTAAGGGCATGTACCTCCGTTGCAGTTTGTCCCCGGCCCTGGTTGGGTCGTGTGGGTGGCAGCCACTCGATGTGTCCCTTTCATGTCAATGTTTCTCTCTCTATCTCTCTCCCTCCCATTCTATCTGAACAAAATATTGAAAAATGTCCTCGGGTGAGGATAAAAAAAAAAAGATTTTAGCATCTCTTGAGTTTTTCCTATTGTGACATATAACAGTTGGAAATTTGAGAACAGAAAAACCATATAAGTATAGTTGTTATATAAAAATAGTTATGTGCTCACTTCGGCAGCACATATACTAAAATTGGAACGATACAGAGAAGATTAGCATGGCCCCTGCGCAAGGATGACATGAAAATTTGTGAAGCATTAAAAATAATAATAATAATAACAATAGTTATAGTTGTTATATTTTTCTAGACTTAATGTGCTCCCTGACGTGAGATTCAGAAAGCCTCTTTCTCAAAGGAGTAGTTGTGTGGAGGAGAAGGCAAAACAGATAAAAACATTTCTGGATTACTAAATTCATTACTTGCCACATTGCTTTTTCGTTTCACGTTCTAACCTTGCACTATCAGCGGTTTCTGTTTTTTTCAGATTTCATTCTAACTCCCAAACAGAGTCCTGTGAGACTCCAGGGCAGTTGAGCTCAGATGCCCATACAGAGCACACCCTCCAAATGGTCCTCACCCAGCTTGGTCACACTGGAGAACTCGGTCACCCTGCTCAGGGCTTCCTTCCTTTGCAGTGTAAGATGTGTATATCCAGAGCCAGAGAACCAGCTCCACACATGTCAGCTCCCAGTGAGTAGATGCTTGGCCACATGACACTCCCCCACTTCTCTCAGCCTCCTTGAAATCCCTCCCACGGAAGTGAGAAGTAACTGTTCCTCTATAGCCCTCTGCCCAGGGAGTTAAAATCGATGTGATGAGAAAGTCTTAAATCTCTGATATTTAACCTCTGTGTGAATAAACATAGGCAACTGCCAACATTTATTTTACTTCCAGTCCTTTTGAGTTCTAGGCAGGTAGAAAAACATCCACTCGCCACCTTCCACTTCAGAAGTCATTCAAAGGGAGCTCATGAAGAGACACCCCTTTGATTGTCTTTGGGACAAAAGGCACAGTACACTTTGTTGGCAGAAACATATGGTGCCTTTGTGACTTTTACTATAAAACCTGTGCTTGGTATATAGGAACCATATCTGGGCACACCAGAGAGTTTTCTGTCATGATATACTCCTTGTTTCCTGAGACTTTTAATTATTTTAAAGAAATCACCATCTAAGTTTTTTCAAATCAATCAAAATGGAGAGGGGGCAGGGATCTACACACATCTAACCTCAGGGAGTTTTCTATTATTTCTTTTTTTTTTATCCTCACCCGAGGACACTTTTTTGTTTTTTGCTCAGATAGAGTGGGAGGGAGAGAGAGGAGGGGAGAGAGAGAGAGAAACATCGACGTGAAAGAGACACATCGAGTGGCTGCCACCTGCACGACCAACCAGGGCCGGGGACAAACTGCAACCGAGGTATGTGCCCTTAGCGGGAACCGAACCCGGGTCTCTCTGGACCGCAGGCCGACGCTCTAACCGCTGAGGCAAACCAGCCAGGGCTTTTCTATTATTTCTAAATTCTTTCATACCCAGTATTTCCTGAGATGAGATGATGAATAAAATGGTTATAAGAAGGTGTACATATATTACTAATCTGACTTTACTTCCCCCAGATCAATTTCAAATACTGTTTGAAAAAGAGGTTTGAGCCCGGCTGGTGTGGCTCAATGGACTGAGCATTGTCCCATGGACTGCGAAGTCCTGGTTCAATTCCCAGTCAGGGCACATGCCCGGGGTTGTGGGCTCGATCCCCGATGGGGGACGTGCAGCAGGCAGCCGATTGATGTTTCTCTCTCACATCAATGTTTCTATTTCTCTCTCCTTTCCTCTCGCTCTAAAAAAATCAATAAAATCATATTTAAAAAAAATAAGTTAAATAAAAAGAGGTTTGATGTCAAATACCCTACAACATCAGCTCATTGGATGTTCTGTGTTCTGGGGGAAAAGAAGGCAGGTGTCCAGCACTACTGGGGGAAAGGTGCCTATGAAGCAAGTGAGATAGGTGGTGAGGCTTCTGTGAATGCAGCAGGATCCCCAAAGGATTTAAAAAACAAATTAACAGCTTCATCGAGGTAGAATTCACATCCTGTAAATTTCATACTCTTAAAGCATATACAATTCAGTAGTATTTTAATATTTCCACAGAGTTGTACAGTTATCACCCAGCAACCACTGATCAACCTTGTCTCTGTGGATTTGCCTGTTCTCAGAGCTGGCTTGTGGGGAAAGTAGTATACCAATAATAATGCCTTGAGTCTATACAGTACTTAATGGTTTATAAAACATATTCAGAAAATCACCTAAGTATCAATAAATATCACAAAACTGCCTTGCTATAGAAATGATTAGTGCCTGCTTTTTTTGTTTTGTTTTATCCTCACCCGAGGACATTTCTCCATTTTTGTTCAGATAGAGTGGGAGAGAGAGAGAGAAAGAGAGAGAGACAGAGAGAAACATCAACATGAAAGAGACACATTGAGTGGCTGCCTCCTGCATGACCCTCCTGCATGCAGGGCCGGGAAGAATCGCAACCGAGGTACATGCCCGTGGCCAGAATCAAACCTGTGACTCATTGGCCGACACTCTAACCGCTGAGCCGAACTGGCCAGGGCCAGTGCCTCAGTTTTAATGAAACAACTGAAGCTCTAGAAGGTGACTTGCCAAGATCTAACCCAAGGCTTTGCTGGGGTGCCTTCTCCACTGCTTTATAAAAATGGTAGTCCTCAACAAAGAAGGAGGGTGTGTGGGTGTTGGGGAAGCTGCGCATAGCTGCCATCAGTAGCATCTCTACTCTAATTACTATTCCCTAGCAAGGTAGCACTAGAGACAGAGGTTTGGGGGTTGGTGGGAAAAAGAATGGGTCACTACTGCTACTAGTTTTTGCACACCAGGGGCCCACCTTAACAGTGACACTGCAAAGAAAAGAAATGAAGACATAGTCTCTTGGAGGATGGATACTTTTTGTTCCATAAGCTAATTTCTTGGCTATTTTCCTTCCTTCCTACCTTATCTGTCTTAATAGAATGAAGAATGATGTACTGGTGAAACAGAAACCTACAGAGGATGACACAATGGCCTGAAGCAGGTATAGGCCCAAGAATGGACTGGGAGGGTAGAGCCAGCCCAGGGGAAAAGGGCTGAGTGCTGAATCATGATGGGTCTGATAAACTTTCCCAGAAACATTAAGATGGGATCTGCCTTGCTGGTAATTACTGGCCCTAAACCACTTAGTACACCTAAGTTTTATTTGATTTCAACCGAATGGATGCTTCACAAAGCCTCTTCCTAGTTATAGTTAATATTTTATAATTTTATGAGATGATTTTTTTTCTTTTTTTTTTTAATTTTTAGAGAGAGAGAAACATCGATTGCTGGGCATGTGCCCTGACCGGAAATCCAAACTGGTGGTTGTTAGTTCTTAACTTCCACATTACTGCCCTAAGCCTCTCATTCCAAGAAACCAAAACCCATCACTCTTATTGTTCCCATCACTCTTATTGTTTAACCTTGCCCTAAACCTCTCATTCCAAAAAACCCAAACCCATCACTCCAGTCAGGCGGAGCGCAATGATGGAACTACCCTAACCCACCCAAAACTGTAAACGGTTGCTGGACAAGAAAAACAAGTTTCAGGAGACCCTAGCCCCCGACCAATCAAAGACGACCACGTCTCCTCGTCTCCACGGCTGAATGACACCCCCCCCCCCCCCGCCCCCAGCCCTGAGTTTAAAAATCCCTAGTCTGCCCTGGCCGGTTTGGCTCAGCGGTTAGAGCGTCCGCCTGCGGTCCGGAGAGACCCGGGTTCGGTTCCCGCTAGGGGCATGTACCTCGGTTGCAGTTTGTCCCCGGCCCTGGTTGGTCGTGCGGGTGGCAGCCACTCGATGTGTCCCTTTCACATCGATGTTTCCCTCTCTCTCTCTTCCTCTCTCTCCCTCCTACTCTGTCTGTACAAAAAATGGAAAAATGTCCTCGGATGAGGATTAAAAAAAAATAAAAATCCCTAGTCTATACAAGCCAGTTGCTACTCTCCTAAGAGGTAGTCCTGCATGCTAATTCTCAATAAACCTGCACTTCTGGAGATGCCACCTCGTTCTTACAGTGATAGGTGTGCATATGGAGGGGCAGCCAATCAATGTTTCTCTCTTTCTCTCATCCTGTTTCTCTCTCTCTCTCTCTCAGATCAATAAAAACACATCCTCGGATGAGGATTAAAAAAAGAAAAGAGCCCTGGCCAGTTTGGCTCAGCGGTTAGAACGTTGTCCTGCGGACCAGAGAAGCCCAGGTTCGGTTCCCACTAAGGGCACGTACCTCGGTTGCAGTTTGTCCCCGGCCCTGGTTGGGGTTGTGTGGGTGGCAGCCACTCGATGTGTCTCTTTCATGTCGATGTTTCTCTCTCTCTCTCTTCCTCCCTCTCTCCTTCCTGCTCTATCTGAAAATAAATGCATATATATATAAAGAAAAGAAATGGCCACACTTCCATCTAATGCTCATTATCAGCTTCCTGCTTACGTGCTTCTGGAACTGGCTGGGAAGTCCACTTTTCTGGGGTTTCAGGAAAGACCTTAGATAGCTGCTTGTTGTACCTGTTGAGGTTTTCCAGGAAAATCTGGTCTCTCTTTGCACCAATCTGGTGGATGACCCGGACTTTATCTATGAACAGATAAAGAAATAATGAGTCAAATAAAATACACAAAAGGGACTAAAAAGAAATAAAGAGTGTCCAGCACCTTCTTTCTTCCTCTTCCTGGGTTTTCAGTCACCAGAATCAGACCCAACTTCATTTTACCCTACTCTAAGCCCCTGGAACTCCTGACTACCATGCTTCATGAGGCCTAGAAGTCAAGGCAGAGCCTAACTTATAGGCATTGTCTCCTATGAAAAGATAGATACTAATGAAGGGTCACCTAATTCATCTCTTACTAGTCATACTTTTTCTTAAGCACTTTAAGAAGACTTTCAGTTTACAGAAATTTAGGAACAAGAGGGGGATAGAAAAACAGCTTGGAACATGCAGACCTACATCATGCATCCTGGAAGCCCAAGTATTTAAAGGATAGGAAGGTGGAAGGGAAGGTAGTGGACATTTATTGGGCATTGGGCAAGAAGCAGTGTAGATGCTTTTTTGTCTATTCTTTGCATGAAGGGCATTTTTGTTAATATTGTTTTACAAATAAGGTAGATAAGGCTCAGAGAGATTATATAATTTGCTCACGGTTAGTAGGAAGGGGTTAAGCCAGGATTCAAATTTGGATCTACCAGACTCCAAAGCCTGTGACTTTCCCCCCCCAATACAGGGGGGAATATGTGGGGGAATATGTCAAAGTGAGAGGAGGGAGAAGGGTGTACAGAGAAGAGGTAGGTTGTCCCAAAGACAAATCTTGCTTGCTTTACAATCCCACCCTCCACTGCTTCCTTAGTAAGATAGAGGGATAGAGTAAGGAGGAAGAGGGAGAACTGTTTTCTCCCCACCAGGTATCTGCTCACCCCCCCAATCCCACCCCTGGAAAAAACAAACAAACAGCTCCTATGAGAATAACCAGAGAATGTTACAGGAATGTTACCATGAACACCTGGGTCTCCCAGGGCCTCATCCATATCCTTGACTGTTTCATCCCCCAGGTACTGTCCACCTCCCTGCTCCATGTCTACCTCAGCCCCCACCACAGGACCCCAGCTCTATTACCAAAGTAAATATCCTGTTCAAAGGCGTTGTCAGTGGAGTAAGCAAACTTTCCAGCTCGAGGATTCACTTGCCGGAAGTAGCTCTGGTTTTGGTGCTGCCAGAAACTCCTCTTTCCATTGATATCCTTAGAGGTCTTATTGTTGCTAGACATCGTTTCGACTTTCTGCAAGTAATTGGGCAATCTTGGCCAGAGGGAGAGAGGGAGACAGAAAAGGGGAGAAAGGTCAGAGATGGACCTTTCCCTTTCCATTGTATCTATAGCTCATTCTCTTTCCTTTTAAAGCTCAGCTTATACACACATGAGCATTTAAAGAACACCTCTATTGCCCTGGCCGGTTTTGCTCAGTGGTTAGAACGCTGACCTGCGGTCTGGAGAGACCAAGGTTCAGTTCCAGCTAAGGGCACATACCTTGGTTGCAGTTTTTCCCCGGCCCTGGTTGGGTCGTGTGGGTGGCAACCACTCGATGTGTCCCTTTCGCATCGATGTTTCTCTCTCTCTCCCTCCCACTCTATCTGAACAAAATATCAAAAAATGTCCTCGGGTGAGGAAAAAAAAAAATTAAAGAACACCTCTATTTAACTATTGGCCTTGCCCCCAAGGTGCCAATTGAATATGGAGCTGCCAGAAGGAACCTGTCTGCAGCCACCTTCGCCCTCCTCTGCAGTCACTGGATAGCAAAATACAGTGACTATCCTCCTAGCGTCATTCTTCTTTAAAACTGGTGCCCTTAGAGGTTGCATGGGCTTGGGGAAGGGAATGTGCCTCCTGCATTATCTCACTTTATTATGTGTGTGGTTATTTAATGTCTGTCCACCCCAGTGGACAGACTGTAAGCACTTTAAAGGTCCATGTTTATCTCATTTACATAGCATTCCCAGCACTTTGAAGAATAACTGGAAAGTAGTGGGAATGCAATTCATATTTTTTCTAATAACTGAATAAATAAATGGGTTTCCACTTACTTTTAGTTCACTTTTGGGAATCAGAGATATTATAATAGTTCCAGTCTTCCCTCAAGCTATAAATGAGAAGGAAGCAATCTTCTCGTTTATTTACTCAGGTTGTTTACTTCTCTGTCTTGCTGCTAGTCAGTTTTTGAGTCAATGACATGCTGGCTCCTTATTCAAGGTGAAGCAGAACCAAACCTCAGAGCCATGGGGGCTCTGCCTTCCTTATTCTCACCATGGATATGTTTCTCAGAGCACCTGGATAGTAACTGGATCAGCAGAAAGGGAAAGGCTGAGAAACAATCCCTTTAAAGGCAGCAGTTCTCAAGGGGGAGTGATTTTGTCCCTCAAGGGAATATGTGTCAATGTCTGGAGACATCTTTGGTTGTCACAAGAGTAATAGTGGCATCCAGAGAAATGCTGCTAAACATCTTATAATACACAGGGCAGCCCCTTTCAACAAAGAATTACCCAGCCCAGAGTGTCAGTGGTGCCTGGGTCTAAAAACCTTACTTTATGGAGATCTAGAGAGCAGGTTGGCAGTGGAAAACACAAAATGGGAGTGTATGAGCCCACCCAGGAATCCTTGAAGGGAAGCCAAGTATTCTCAAAGGCATGTCTGAGGCCCAGTCAGTCTACCTGTAATAAACAGGAAGCAGCAGCTCTGGCTCCTTTTTCTCCTCGGTGGGCAGGATAACACTTCGATCCTCAAACTCTGCTGTCTCTTCTTCCTCCAGCTGTTTCAAGAGCTCCAGGTCACTGCTGGAAGTGAGCTCATCCCGGATGTGGCTCCAGTCGTATTGCTGTCGCAAGAAGCTCTGCCACTTGTTGGGGGATACCCCAGGCCTTAAAGGACGCTTGTTCTGGATCCATCGGGCAGTGCGCTTATTCAGCTTTTCCAGCACGATGGCCTCCCAGGCTCTGGCCTCTTTTTCATGGGGCAGAAGCCAGGCTTCCCTCTCCAGGTTCACATCTGGAGAAAATGACAGACCCAGAATGTCTAGATCCCTGGAGGGATGAGGAGCGAGAGGGCGAGATGTTTCCTGGGCTGCACTTGCTGACTTTGATTTCTTTCGTTTCTTCTTAAGATTGGCAGAGCTTTCTGTTTTCACAGCCTGGGATGGGACTCTTGCTGAGGGACCTGAAGAATCCAAGAACTTGAAGCTGACAGGCTTCTCAGGTCGGGTCTTCCTGATGAGGGGAGGTTGGATGATGCTGTCTGCATTGTAGAGGTGGTCAAAGCTGTACTGGGTGTAGGGAAGGCTGGGTAGCCCTCGCTGCCACACCACCTCCTGAGAGAAGGTAAGGTTTGAAGCGGCTTTTTTCAAATATTGGTTCTTGAGGTGCGTACAGTGCTGCGGGCTGAAGTGAAAGACAGGAGGCACACTGGAGACAGAGGTGCACTCCTTGTTTCTTGGTTTTACGTAGGAGAAAATCACGCTCCATCCCAGCAGTGGGGGCAGTGACTGATGCAGGCAGTTAGGGAGAAAGGTCTTTCCCTTTTGGTTCTTGGTCATTGTTTCCCCGCAAATGCTTCCTTCCACACTGGTCCAGAGGCAGGGTCTGGTGGTGGGACCTGTAAAAGGGATGAGAGGACCTGGTGAGAGCTCTAGGTCAATAGAAATCAGTAACCCATGGCAATACAGAAAGAAAAGAACTTGGAAGATAGAAGGGAAGAAGGGGAAAGTCATGTGAATTAGAAGAACAAAAGAAAGAAAAGGTGCAACATTCTAAATCCCATGCTTCCAGTTTTTCCTCAAACGTTGCTCTCTCTCTATTCAAAGGCTTACAGCATAAAGTTCAGACAACTCAGCCTGGCACTTGGAGTTCTCCATCATTGTGACCCCTGTTAATGCCCTTGTCCTGCCATGTAACCTCTTGAGTCTCCTAGACTCTTCTCTGAGCATTTCTCCCTTCATATAATGTAGCTTCATCTGTGCCCTCTATATGAAATAGCCTTTTGTCCACACTTGATACAAATTATATCCATTCTACCAGGCCAATTCAATTCCTGCCTGTTCCATAATTGCCTTGACCTATCCAGGCCTCCATATCATAAACACATTTATAAATTGCTTCTAGTCCATATCCCTTATTTTAATTTTCAATCCTGTAACACTTCACATTATTAACTATGTGGCTAGCTAACTGCATCGCCCAGGGACCATGTCTCCTGTCTCTTTGGTATTCTCCTGACGTGTGTAGTGCCTAGTTGAATATTTTGTAATTCTTAACATATCAGTATGTCACTAACTTGCTCCTAAGGCAAGAGGCATTTTGATCCTAAACACTTAAAAAAAACAGGATGAGAACTGTTTCACCTTAAGATGTCTACCTACATGGAATGAATTGGGGTGTCCCCAGATATATGCCCATTACCTGGTGACATAAAGAATCATTGGTTAAAGAGGTCACCAGTTCGATACCCGGTCAGGACACATGCCCAGGTTGTGGGCCAAATCTGCAATGGGGGGCATGCAGGAGGCAGCCAATCGATGTTCTTTCTCATAGATGTTACGATCTCTCTCTCCCTCTTCCTTCCTCTCTCTAAAATCAATATAGAAAAAAAATGAGCCCTGGCCAGTTTGGCTCAGCGGTTGGAGCGTCGGCCTGCGGTACAGAGAGACCCGGGTTCGGTTCCCCTCTAAGGGCACATACCTCGGTTGCAGTTTGTCCCCGGCCCTGGTTGGTCGTGCGGTGGCAGCCACTCGATGTGTCCCTTCACATCGATGTTTCTCTCTCTCTCTCTCTCTCTTCCTCTCTCTCCCTCCCGCTCTATCTGAACAAAAAAAAGAAAAAAAAAAAATGAGTGGAGACTGGAGCCCTGGAAAGTGTTTCTCAGTGGTTAGAGCATCGGTCCTCGGGCTAAGGGTCTGGATTTGTTTTCTTTTCTTCCTTTCTTCCTTTCATTTATTTTTTGTGGTATGCGCCCCTAGCGGGAACCAAACCCCGGACTCTCTGGTCTGCAGGCCGACACTCAACTGCTGAGCCAAACTGGCCAGGGCGGGTCTTGGGTTTGATTCCCAGTCAAGGGCATGTACCTGGGTTGCAGGTTGGATCCTCAGCCCTGGTTGGAGCACATGAGGGAGGCAACCAATCGATCTCATATCTATGTTTCTCTCTCTCCCTTCCATTCTCTCTAAAAAAATCAATGGAAAAAATATCCTCAGTGAGGATTAAGAAAGAAAGAAGCATGCCCTGGCCAGTTTTGCTCAGCGGTTAGAGCATTGGCCTGCGGTCCAGAGAGGCCCAGGTTCAGTTCCCACTAAGGGCACGTACCTTGGTTGCAGTTTGTCCCCGGCCATGGTTGGTTTATGCAGGAGGCAGCCACTCGATGTGTCCCTTTCATGTTGATGTTTCTCTCTTCCTCTCTCTCCCTTCCACTCTGTCTGAACAAAAAAATGGAAAAATGTCCTCAGGTGAGGATAAAAAAAAAAAAGAGTGAGGACTGGAGACTGCTTTGTGCCAGAGTCCTTCAGCTGCAACCCTGGTAGCCCACTGACAGGCCAAAGAGCTTTTGAGAGGCTGAACTAGGAAATTCTTTCCCAAATAAAGTAGAGATTTTTCAGCCAGGAGGCTTTGAGCAAACTCATGTGTGTCTTTGGCTCTTGCTTTCAAAGGTAGGCTACTGACTGGCAGGACTCTGGCCCTCCAAGCTCCTTAGCAGGCTCCTCTGACCCAGTGGGCACTTAGCCTGCCAGCAGAGGCTCTATAACCAGCGCTAACTTTCTCAAGAGCCCTGTTCAGCTGACCCGAGGTCTGAAATCAAGTCGCAAAATGATGGTTTCATCTCCCGCTGTCCTGCGAGTGTATGGACACTGCCGACGAGGCCTGAGGAGGTGGACATGGCTGCCGAGGCCTCCAATGGTGAGGTCTGGTGGCCAGGTCTCTTGGGCCCCGGCACGGATGGTGGGAATGGTGACTCTGGAGCCCACGGGCCGCTGCTGCACAGGGAAGAACCCGTGAGCATCCTTGTGAGCGGCCGGCCTGGCCCCTGAGCAGCCAGTCACGCTGCGAACTTCCCTGAGTGATGAGAAGGGCGCGCTCTCAGAGGGTTTTATACACATTAAAGAGACCACAGCCCCAAGAGGTATCTGTGGGATGTATAAAGGTAGTTTGGTTCGGGGGTGGGGAGAGCAGGATCAGGAACCACAGCCTCTTAACCTGACTTGTTTCAGATTTCCTCTCTACTGCCTTTTTTTCAATCAGAAAATTTCATTTTCCCCCCTCTACTTTGTGGTTGTTGTTCATCCTCACTGAGGATATTTTTTCCTTTTTTTTTGAGAGAGAGAGAGAATGGAAAGGAGGAAGAGAAAGTCTCTATGAGAGAGACACATCAGTTGGTTGCCTCCTGCATGCACCCCGACAGGGCCAGGGATCAAACCTGCAACCCAGGTATGTGCCCTTGACCAGGAATCAACCCCAGACCCTTTGCTGCACAATCCGATGCTCTAACTGCTGAGCAACACCAGCTAGGGCCCTCTACTTTCTAATTCTCACTCCTTGCCATGTACTCACACAGATATACTGCTGTCTCCTGAGATTACTCTGGAAACTCTGCCATAGAGATGATCTGTTCCTATTCTTTTATCCTACACATTTCAAAACTGAGGCCCAGAGAGAAGAGACATAACTAAGATGTCTCCTACTGGTTAACACCTGAAGTAATACTGACCCTTTTGACATTTAATGCAAAAGCATTTCATCTACTCAGGCTGTCTCTCATTCAGTTGAACTAATACACTCCTTTCAGACACCGGTACAGCAGTAGTGTTTTCAATTACCTTCAGAATAGCCTCCCACAACACAGTCTTCAAAGGGAAGCAAGATTCTGCATCTTAAACCTTCCTTAGTTTCCTAGGTTCCAAAACTGTTTACATTGGTTACTTGGCAGCCACCTCTGTAGAATTCCATGAGTCTACTCACAGAACCTGGGGGCTCAAGCAGGAGTATTTTCAGTTATTTATTAAATGTCCTTCTTTGTGAGCTGAGCTTTGGGAAGTTGCATTGTATTTATTAATTGGTGGCAAAATGGACTTCTTGGTTATCCTTTGAAAAATAAACCTCTAGCCCTGGCTGGTTTGACTCAGCGGATAGAGTGTCGGCCCGCAGACCAAAGAGTTAAGAGTTCAATTCCGGTCAAGGGTATGTACCTCAATTGCAGTTCAGTCCCCCACCCTGGTTGGGGTTGTGCAGGAGGCAACCAGTTTGTGTGTCTCTCTCCCATGATGTTTCTCTCTCTCCCTTCTTCTCTCCCTCCTTTCCACGCTAATAATAAATGAAAAACATATCCTCGGGTGAGGATTAACAACAACAACAAAAAAAGGGAGCCAAAAGGCCATTAAGGAAATGGGTCTTAAGCACATCCTTACCAATAGAACAAAGGAAGCTGCAAGAGTACCTGAAACTCTTCACATTGACAGACTTGGTACTTAGCAATAGCTGTAGCAATCAATTATGTTTAGCCAAGGTTAGACTTCGGTCACCAACACCAATATAAATTCTGTATGAATGACTTATGCAAAGTTCCCCTTTTGCCTTTTAAAACCCTTGACTTTTCTTCTCTGGCAGACACTTTGGGTTGCTACCTGAATCAGGGTGCCCAGATATGCAACTCCTTTAAATCTTAAATAAACACTTTATTTTCTGTATGATTATTTTCTGTATGATTTCCTGATAATTTAGGTTATCAACTTGTTTGAGGTCAACAGTTGCTTATAGTTTATACAATTTGCAGATTTCTCTAATAAAAAGAATATGAAATTATTAATGTAAAATCAAGTACATTACTTGGAAGAGCCCTGAACTGAAGTTTGATGAAAAAAGTCCACCACAGGGTAAAACCTATAATTTATGAAAAAGTAGGAAAAGGTGAAAAGTCCAGGATGAGGAGGTGCCATTTGCTTAAATGAAATAACATTAAGAATCCCATATATAACAATAACTATTACTTCATTTGGCTGTTTTTACTCCTAAAAGGAACAAAGCTGAGCTCACACAGTAATACGCCATGCCCCTTAGATGTGGCATGGTGTAGAAGATAAGCATAAACACAAATTATACGGGCAAAGTACCATGGTGCACATTTTAAAAGAAAAGACCTATGATTATTATCAACAAGGTGATAAATTCAATTCCAGTCTTGCACTCCATAGCTGTTAAGAGAGAACTGGAGTCCTGGGAAGTGTGGTTCAATGGTTAGAGCGCTGGCCCTCTGACTAAACGGTCTCGGGTTCGATTCCCAGTGAAGGGCAGGTACCTGGGTTACAGGTTGGCTCCCCAGGCCTGGTTGGGGCACATACAGGAGGCAACCAATCGATCTCACATCCATGTTTCTCTCTCTCCGCCGCCCCCCTCTTCCACTTTCTCTAAAAAAAAAAAAATTTCAATGGAAAAAGTATCCTCAGTGAGAATTAAGAAAAAAAAAGAGTGAGGACTGGAGACTGCTTTGTGCCAGAGTCCTTCAGCTGCAACCCTGGTAGCCCACTGCACAAACCAAAGAGCTTTTGAGAGGCTGAACTAGGAAATTCTTTCCTAAATAAAGTGGAGATTTTTCAGCCAGGAGGT